TCCTCAATGATGAGGTCAAATTCTTTATTGGCCAAGTGTGATTGGACACACAAGGAATTTGTCTTGGTGCAAATGCTCTCAGTGTACATAAAAGAAAAGATGCATTCATCAAGAGTCAAGAATCATTCGGTACAACACTTAATAATAGTCAAAAGCAATCAAATCATACTAGGAAACAGTCAATAAAAATCGTGAGGATAACAAGCAACAAGGTTGCAGTCACAAGGTTGCAGTCATACAGTCATAAGTGTGAGGAGATGAGTGAAAGGAAGGATGGGAGGAGTAATAGTACTAGTAGTGCAGACTTTGTAAATAGTTGGACAGTGTTGAGGGAATTATTTGTTTAGCAGAGTGATGGCGTTTGGGGAAAAACTGTCCTTGTGTCTAGTTGTTCTGGTGTGCAGTGCCCTATAGCGTCGTTTTGAGGGTAGGAGTTTAAACAGTTTATGTCCAGGATGTGAGGGGTCTGTAAATATTTTCACAGCCCTCTTTTTGACTTGTGCAGTATACAGGTCCTTGATCAAAGGCCGGTTGGTAGTAATTGTTTTTTCTGCAGTCCTAATTATCCTCTGAAGTCTGTGTCTGTCTTGTTGGATTGCGGAACCCAACATACATGTACATACACACACACACACACACACACACACACACATACATATATAGCAATAGCACTTATATACCGCTTCACAATGCTATACAGCCCTCTCCAAGCGGTTTACAGAGTCAACCTCTTGCCCCCAACAATCTGGGTCCTCATTTTACCCACCTTGGGAGGATGAAAGGCTGAGTCAACCTTGAGCCAGTCAGGATCGAACTTCTGGCTGTGGGCAGAATTAGCGTGCAGTATTACATTCTAACCCGTGCATACACACACATATGCTATACAGTTAGTCCTCGACTTAACAATGGTTCATTTAGCGACCATTCATAGGTGCAATGGCACTGAAAAAAGTGACTTATGACCGTTTTTCATAATTATGACCTTTGCAGCATCCCCCAATGATCAAGGGATCAAAATTCAGACTTCAAACCCACTTCGCAAATGTCTCACTTAACAGAAATGTTGGGCTCCACTGTGGCCATGTCCTGGAGAGAAGGAAATAAATTTCCAATAATCTTTTCTGTCATCCTCACCACTCTCTCTCTCTCACACACAGCCTTCCTGTCTGAAATGGTAATGTCTCCAAACCAAACATTAATACAATACAACAGGATGCTTTCAATCATCCCTAGTCTATAGAAAGTGGTAAGGATAAGGGAAGGAAGATGGGATCTTCACATAAGATGCAGAAAATGCTGGCTCTGCTGTGCCCATTTCACTTATTATTTTCCTGAATAAGGCCCACCCTGTTGTACCATCTGCATACTTCACAAATATGGTTGGTAGCAAACCCTGCACAACAATCATGGGTCAGCATTGGTGAACAATAGTGGACTTTAGGACACAGCCCTGAGGAGAACCTGTGCTAAAGAACATGGTGTTAGAAATATTAGTCCCATCTCGCACATACTGGGGCCTATCAGTGAGAAAACCAAGAACCGAGTTGCACAAATAACAATAATAATACTATTTCAAAGATGGAGTATTGAAGAACAGTATGAAATCCTTGGAAGTCTAAAGAAATAAGGACCAATAATGTAAAGTTTTCTTTCTGTAATGGGGATATTCAGTGTACATTACCAACTCTTGACTAATGTATCTTTTCTTTTGTGTATACTGAGAGTATTTACACCAAGACAAATTCCTTGTGTGTCCAATCACACTTGGCCAATAAAGTATTCTATTCTATTTTATTATCTCACATTTAAAATGCTACAAAGATTCCTTAGATAAACTATGGGAACTGCACATAAAAAGCCAAGTCTAGTCTACTCTAGTAAAAATTCTCTCTCGTATGGAAATTAGTTTCCAGGGTACAAAAGTCACGGGGCACGTTTTATATTAAGTTAATCTGGCCAACTGGAAAGTACCGAATGCATGATATTGTTTGGATTTGAGTCTTCTCAAGTTGCTTAATTACAATGTCCAGCATCTTTTCTCACCAGCTAGTTAAACTAACTAAGGCTATATAGGAGCTAGGATTCAGTCATATCTGGAGACACACAAATTCATCTAGTCTATGCCAAAGCCACCTTCCCCTAATGTGGTGCCTTTCAGGTTTTATGAGTATGCCTTTTTCTCTCCACCAGCATTTATAGATACTTCTCAGGCTGAGATTACTAGGGGAGCTATCAACTGAGACATCTATGAATCACTTACCTTGGAGGAATTTTAAGACAGATTTCCCTCCCTCCCTCCCTCCCTCCCTCCATCATTTGGCTGGTTGTAACTGATTCTGACTGCCTGTTTATTGCAGCCTTCCTATTTGTACTCTTTGTTCAGTTTTGAAAGATTGTAAATTTTCTTTTCCTTCAAGCTGCTGTTTTTTTTTTTGTCACAGCAAAATCTCAAAAAAAAACAAAACCCAATTCCCAACTCAAAAGGTGTATACAAGTGTGGGACAGCTTACAGTACTCCTAAAAATTCAAATTAGTAGTCATTTTAAACTAAGCTACATTCACTAGGAAACTGGTATTTCTTACTATTCAGTTTGAAGGCTTAGTTGACATCAGGGGGGTTTCAAAACTCTTAAATCTTCTACTATCTCTTGCTCCCCTCTAGATAAGTTTATTTGCTATCAGTTGCTCCTATCTCCTCCTATCTCTGTGACTTCTGCATTTTGCCTTTAACAGCCTCTTATCTGTTTATCAAAGCCCTCCCCCCCCCTCTCCTATAATAGATTCATGTCTTCAGCAAAGTTTGTCTGGAATTAATGAGGTTTTTTTTTCTGTGTGGCTGTTGCCAAATATTCCCTATCCTGTACCTACTAGTGATTATGCCTGTGTTCCATTTTTCTTCATGTCTGTCCATTGCTGGATTTTGATTTTTGGATTAGTTTGTGACAGTGTATTTCAGTCTAGGGCGCAAGGTGATATTTTATGCAAATATATGAGGGAATGCAAATTAAGAGTACATTTGCTGAAGCAGCTCTCGGCCAAATGAGCCATTGGCTGCTCTTCCTGAAAAGTTAAATAAGTGGCAGTTGTTTATTTCTTGTGGATTAGAAGGCATGCAATTACAAAATACCACATGTTGCAATGCTAGCTTGCATCTTGTATTTAATTACATTCTTGCTAAAAACCTTCATAAAGTGATAGATTAATAAGAGCAATAGCACTTAGACTTATATACTGCTTCCCAGGGCTTTACAAGCCCACTCTAAGTGATTTACAGCAGTTGTTGCCAAGCGGTGGGCTGCAGCCCACTGGTGGTCCATGAGAAAATTTTGGTGGTCTGCAGAGAAATGTCACTCCCAGAGCATCCCTCCAAAGCAATTAATCCAGGCTGCGCGGGAACACAAGGCTCGAGTATCAAACTTCTTTGCCTTTTGCAAAGAACCGCAGTTTCTCAGATGGCTTTTATCTTCCCAGGGACTTTTACATATATTTAGAGTAATGTCACTGTTCTCTTTTTTTTAATTTTTCTTATACCTCCCCCAAGCATTTATAAAAATTTGGGTTTGTTTGCTTTTCCTGACATATTTATATAGCCTATGACGTGAATACAGTACAGGTGCTCCTTGACTTACAACCATTCATTTAAGGAGCTTTCAAAGTTACAGTGGCATTTTCAAAAGTGACATATGACCAGTTTTCATACTTACCACCATTGCAGCATCTCCATGATCACATGGCCAAAATTCAGGCACATGGCAATTGGCATATATTTGTGACAGTTCCACTGTCCCAGGGCTGGCTTCTGACAATGTCAATGACGGAAGCTGGATTCATTTGAATGACCGTGTGATTCGCTTTAAAAACTCCAGTGATTTGTTTAACAAGTGTGGGAAAAAGGGGGCAAAACTCACTTAACAGCTTCCTTGCTCAGCAACATAAATTTTGGGCTTCATTGTGGTCATAATTCAAGGACTACCTGTACACAAAGATAGATCAGCATGCGATCTAATTACTTTGTGCAGTTTTGGAAACCCAACTGAAGGGAAACTGGTGTGGGCTATACCCAGGGGTGGGATTCTACTGGTTCGGACCGGTTCTATAGATCTGGTTGTTATGATTCTATGCAGTTCAGAGAACCAGCAAATCGTGCCCCTGGCTGGCCCCGCCCCTCCCCGCCAGTCAGTCCTTATCATGCATGCGCAACGTTGTGTGCATGCCCGACATCGCTGACTGCGTTTTTCCCCACTCAGTCACTCTATAAGGTATTTCTTTTTGTTTCCCTCCTGATGATCAGCTGTTCCTATGATCAGCTGTGCCGGGATTCCCCTCACTTACTTACTGCTTCGCCCAGGGGGCTTCCCTGAGGTGCAGAAGGCCCCAAAACGGAGCACAGGGGGGTGCTGTGCGCCCCCCTATGCTCCATTTTTTTTCCTTCCTGAGCCCCAGGGAACCCTTCTGGGAGCAGAAACAACCCCCCCAGGAGGCTTCTCTGAGGCCCAGAAGGCCCAAAAAACGGGGAGGGGGGGTGTTTGTGACCAAAAAAGAAGAAGCCATGCCCACCGAGTCATATGGCCATTCCCAGACAGCCAAGCCCACAGAACCGGTTGTTTCAAAATTTGAATCCCATCCCTGGCTATACCAGTGTACTGTATGGCATAAGCCAATCTATCAGAACCCAAAAACATCAGGTGATTATTGGGTCCTTTAGGACTGTATGATACTTCAGACTGAACTTTAAAAAAATGGTGTTTCAGAGCAACTGGACAGTGAACATGATATTTGTCTGCAAATATTTAAAGCAGTTAGGATGCTTTCTGGCATAACATATAGTAGAAGCTAGCTGCATGGTTTGTGATAAGCAGCGGTTGCTTTAAAAAGTTGCAGAAAAGTTTGTTCACATTCCTTTATGCTTTGAATCCTAATATATTTTAGCAACGTCAGGATCTCTGTGACCACACCTTTGATATTTGTCATCTCTGTTTGCTAAGTCCAAACATCCTCTCTCTGTTGATTCTATCGGGAGGATAAGGATGTTACGACTGAAAAGTACTATTAATATATTTTCTCAAGCCATTACGTTCTACCTGATCTTTGGTTCATCTTGTTTGATCATTAATCTAATTCACACTTGGATCCTGAAGATAGGCTTACCTCATTTTATCCTCTTTTTATTAAGGCTTCGGGTCTTAAAAAAGTTTTCCCCAATTTGATGTCCTTCAAAGGCATTCAGGGTCAACTTCTATAATCTCCAGTTCGCATAGGAGAGGAGAAATAGGGATTTGCAGTACAAAACAACTGAAGGATGCTGGTTTGGGGGGGGAGAAATGATATCATGAATTGGAATTAATTTATATCCTCACCTTTATAATTTCTTTTTAAATAAATAACTCAAGGTGGCATGCTTACCCAATATTCCTTCTTCCTCCCAGTTTCCCCAAATAACAACCCTGTGACATGAGTTGGGCTGAGAAAGAGTGACTGGTCCAAGGTCATCCAGCTACCTTTCATGCTTGAGATGGAACTAGAACTCAATCTCCTGATTTCGTGGCCAGCATTTTAACCACAATATCAAACTGGTTTGCTAATTAATCATTGTTAATATTTATATCATTCAGTTGGTATCAAGTCTTCTTTGAAATTGCTCTATCTTCACCAGGTGTACATAGAATAGAACAGAACAGAACAGAACAGAACAGAACAGAATAGAATAGAATAGAATAGAATAGAATAGAATAGAATTCTTTATTGGCCAAGTGTGATTGGACACACAAGGAATTTGTCTTGGTGCAAATGCTCTCAGTATACATAAAAGAAAAGATACATTCATCAAGTCAAGAATCATAAGGTACAGCACTTAATGATAGTCATAGGGTGCAATAAGCAATCAAATCATACCAGGAAACAGTCAATATAAATCGTAAGGATACAAGCAACAAAGTTACAGTCATACAGTCACAAGTGGGAGAGGATGGGTAATAAGGAATGGTGAGAAGATTAACAGTAATAGTAGTAATCATAGCAATCAATCAGCAACCGTTGTAATCCCAGTTAAAATTAATCAGTTATATTGACATAGAGGTAAATAAGAGGCCCACTTCACATGTATAGCATAATTGAAGACTATCCTTCAAAATTATTATTTGAATCTACAATATTCACAATAATACTCCATCACCATCCATCAAAGCAGCCCTTTCAGCTTCCTGGGGAAAAATGATGTCACCACTTTAAGATTTATATCATCTTTAATCTTTGTGCAAGGTCCAAAGAAAATCTTCCTCTATAGTCCTTGAGATATACACAGCTGTACACAGTACTCAAGTGTCCAAGTCACATAGATCTTTCAAGGCATATCCAAAAGGACAATTTAGACAACCAGGCAAGTCCTGAAATCAAAACATAGGTAGCGCTCTATTAGAACAAGTTACCATAGAGTATATTTCAGTTGTAATTGTTCTCTTACAGAATCTAAAACGTTAAAAGATCTCCACCCATCTGCAAATATAGTTAGTACTAGGTACTATACAATATTTCAGATATGAAGGGGGAAAGCTACTTGGAGCACATTAAGAACTCATGTTGCATCTGCTGGCAACTCTACAAAGCAGTTGTAAGTGGGAGTAATGGAACCATATCCCATGCTGCAATAGATTACTAGGAAATGTTTAACTAAAAAAGTCGGTGCCAAATATTGCATGGTTGTCCTTGCATGCTCCCTATCAGTCTTTCCTTTCAGACACAAAGCATTTCACTACATAGCTTGAGTTGGGTCTATGCCAACTCGCCGCAGAACAAGAGTTACACCAATATCGAAGAAATAGTGGAGTAGAATCATTAAAGAAAGGAAGCCAAAGGAGGGACAAAATGAATTGTGAATGACCAAAATTAAAATATGTTTTTCATTATTTCATACAATTAAATTGAATTTCCTGCAGTGAGTAGGCCTGTGGCGAGTTGGCCATGGCAAGTTCTACCACGGTGACTTGGCTGTGGTGAATTGGTTATGACAAGTTGACCGTAGCGAGTTGGCCATGGCGAATTGGCTGTGGCCAGGGGTGGGATTCAGTTTTTTAAACAACCGGTTCTGTGGGCGTGGCTTAGTTGGTGGGTGTGGCTTGGTGGTGATGTGACCGGGTGGACATGGCTTGGTGGTCATGTTATTGGCTGGGCATGGCCAACTCAATATCACTCACATCAAGGCACGCATCTCCTCACCTGGCCTCTCACGACTGTGGGGATGCTGCAACAGTCATAAGTGTGAAAAATGGTCATAAGTCACTTTTTTCAGTGCCATTGTAACTTTGAATGGTCACTCCACACAAGCAAAGTACCAGCAAAGGAGGGGAAAAAACTCCAGAGATGTTCCTGAGACAGGAAGTCTAGTCCTGTCAAGAATGTAATAAGGGTTAACGGAGAGGCAGTTTCTGTAAGCAACAGCAGAATGTTTCCTTCCTGCCTTCCTTACAGGATTAGGCCAGTAAATTCTTCTAACAACTGGTTCTCCGAACTGCTTAGAATGTTAACAACCGGTTCTAGTGAATAGGTACGAACCTGTAGAATCCTACCCCTGGCTGCAGCAAGTTGTCCTATTCTAGCCTGAGTTAGCACTACTCATCGTTGGTTGCAGAACATCCCTCAGCCCTTGGGATCATTATGGAATTTTGCTGGTGTTGGGAAGCCAGATCTTTGTATCAGCAGAAAAAGAATCCATCGATGGAGAATTAAAAGCTGTGTTTATTTCTGCCAAAACTCAGAACTTAGGACTGGCTTTCCAGAATCAATCCCGCCTCCATCTTCCTCTTTCTTAATGAAGAGCCATCTGAGAATGCCTTTATATTGTTTTTCAAAAGCTAAAGGAGGAAGTTAAGTACACTGGGCCAATGCACTTTCCTTCCATAGCAACGGATAACCTCATATTGGTAGATGCAGATGTCTTCCAAAACATTATGAATTTTTTCCCACCATCCAATTTGTGATAGACATAGTGAGATGAATGTAAATCTCAGTGACAGTTGTATGAATAGATCTCTCCAGATTAAGCCTAATACCTGCATGATATTTTGCATTCCAAAAGAATAATTCTAAGCATCTGGTGCTCTTTTAAGGAAAAATATAGTAACTTCTAGATTTCAAAAATGATTTCTTTATTTTCAGATACCTAAGTTAAGCTTCCAAGAATTGGCGATTTTTAGCTTAAGATTAGCTTAGCATGTGTTTTCTTTCTGTTCTAAAGTTTGGAATGCTTAGCACATAAACCACATCTTTTTGTCTCCACAGCTTCATGCAGAAAAATGGCCTTTTGGAGTTGAACTATGTAAATTATTCCCCTTCTTTCAAAAGACGTCTGTTGGCATCATAGTGTTAAGTCTATGTGCTCTCAGTATTGATAGGTGAGAAAACAATTCTTCTTGTTTTTCTTAAATGATATGAGTATTGTAAGTGAAATATTAGACACAGAATATGTGGATGCACACCAAAAAAGAGACCTTAAGAAATAAATGGGTGTGTGGAATTAAAAAAGGAAGAGATAATCCTCCGTATTAAGTTGAAGAATTAACAAACATGAGAATGGAATATGCATAGACTTCCTAATCTTCTCATTTTCTCCCTGGAGATTGAACCTTTCTACAAATGCTGTTTGTTTGGAAAATAAGCTTTGAGAAATTACTTGAATAGAAGTCACACAAAAATAAAGATCCCAAAAGTAAATAGGAGATTTAAAAAATTAATAAAACCTAAATAAGAATATCGGTGGTGCATTCTTCCCTTCCATTTATTTCACTAACCACCACATAAATATTTGTAACTTCGAGCATTAGACTTGGAGATTAATGCTATTATCAATTTAAGTAATTTCAACCCTTTTTTAAATAAAGATATTTTTTACCAACTATAGAACTACTACCGAGGAAAGACTGAGGAGATTTGAAAAGCTTTTGCTAATCGGAGCACCACTGACAAACTGGAAGTTGTCGTGCCCCAGCTCAAAGTAGTAGGGAGCATTGCAGAGGGGGCCTTGCTCATTTCAATCTAATGAAAGCAATCCATGTGAAAAAAGCATACAGTAAACAATTAATCACAGAGATGGTATTTTTATGGTACATTTTATGTTGTGCGTGAAGTATATCCTGATTTCAGTATTCCATATTATAGAGCCAGTTTGATTCTCTCCCTAACTGCTTTCCTGATCCCTTAATTGTCCTTCCAAGTTATTGGTATACAATTCCCAGGCTTTATGGACCTCATGGCCATGCCCGAGCTCTCTGATCACCCCAGTTATAGAGTTGGAGATAAAGGGGAGCATCAGGATAGGTAAAGGAATTGTTCAGAGCCTGCTAGGATTTAACAATGGACAGCTTGGATTAGCAAAATTACTTTCATGTCTCTCTCAAAGCTCTGTGCCTTCTTCAGCTACTGCTGCAGTAATAGGATATTCTTCTGCTACTTCAGCAATAGTGGAAGTTCAAAATTCCATGAATGGAGAATAAAGTACAGTTCTTTTCTGTTTAGTATTACCTCTTCCCATACCTGAGCACAACCTTGGCCTAGGGAAAAACCCAAAACCCAAGGGTTTGATGTGGGTTGCATTGTGACATGATAAAGTTGAACTAAACCTCGATTTTTTTAAAAAAGGAAGAACCAAAAGTTGATGGTCCCTCACATCAGTCAAAAAGAACAAAATATATGTACATAAAAGGAAGATGGCCTGATGTTTTTATGTTTTGTTTGTGTATGTTTGTTTTAAAAACCAATAAAAATTTATATATATAAAAAAAGAACAAAATGTTACCCTGACATATTATAGCACCATGATGGCGAACCTATGGCATGGTGCCGGAAGTGGCACACAAAGCCATCTCTGTCAGCACATGAGCTGTCGCCCCAGCTCAGTTCCGCTGCGCATGTGCATGTGCCTCCCGCCAGCCAGCTGATTGTCGGATATTTTCTGCGCAGGGGTCGGGGTGGGATTCAAATTTTTAACAACCAGTTCTATAGGCGTGGCTTAGGTGGTGGGTGTGGCTTAGTGGTCATGTTATTGGCTGGGCGTGGCCAACTCAACATTGCTCACATCGAGGCACGCATCTCCTTGCCTAGCCTCTCATGACTGTGGGGATGCTGCAACAGTCGTAAGTGTGAAAAATGGCCATAAGTCATTTTTTTCAGTGCCATTGTAACTTTGAATGGTCATTCCACACAAGCAAAGTACCAGCAAAGGAGGGGAAAAAACTCCAGAGACGTTCCTGAGACAGGAAGTCTAGTCCTGCCAAGAATGTAATAAGGGTTAAGGGAGAGGCAGTTTCTGTAAGCAACACAAGAATGTTTCCTTCCTGCCACCCTTACAGGATTAGGCCAGTAATTTCTTCTAACAACCGGTTCTCCAAACTTCTTAGAATGTTAACAACTGGTTCTAGAGAATAGGTGTGAACTGGTGGAATCCCACCCCTGCGCAGGGGGTGGGGCGCATGCAGGAGACGCATGCACATGAGCAGGGGGCAGGGGGGTTGCACGTGCATGCAGAGGGGGGCGAGAGAACGGGGGGGTTGCATTATGGGTGCAGGCATGCAGACATGCACACTTTTCGGCACACTATGACGAAAAGGTTAGCCTTTATGAGCAGTGGGCAATCTGCCATCCTACAGATATTTTTGAATTCCGTCTGCTGTCATCTTTCACCATTGTCCATGCTGACTAGAATTCATGGAATGGGAATTCACCAATATCTGAAGATATAGATCTTCCAACTAATGGTTCTTCCCAAATGATCTGGTTTATTGTTTATCTGCCACATATAGTTTAATCAGTGGCCCAGAATTATAGCATTTCTGGTGCAAAATATCCACAGAGCACTACACTAAGAAAGGTTCTGCCTAAACTGACCAAGGTTCTCTTTTTTTATATATTTAGGTATCGAGCTGTTGCTTCATGGAGCCGTATCAAAGGAATTGGGGTACCAAAATGGACAGCAATTGAAATTGTTTTGATCTGGGTTGTGTCCTTTGTTTTAGCTATTCCTGAAGCTATTGGCTTTGATATCGTTAGTATACCATACAAAGGGGAGAAGTTGTCTACTTGTTTACTTAATCCACATCAAGAATCATCTTTTATGAAGGTAATACGCGATCATCTATTTCTGTAATGAAATATTAGTGCCGTGTAATTTTTAGGATTTGGTTGCAAATAAATATTTTGATTAGTCCTGGAAGAAGACGTGACTGTTTTAAATAGTTGGAGTCATATGCTACATTTGGACTTCCACGTGCTTTAAGTCAGTTTTTTGGAATCAAATTGAAAACATGTAGTCCCCATTGCCTGAACTGAATTTATTTATTTAAAATGTTTATATTCTTCCGTTCAAATAAGAAAAATGTCTGAAGGGATTCAAAGACATTAGACATGTAATAATACATTAATTCCATGCATATTAGTAAATAAGAGAAATTGTGGTTTTCCAAATTTGTAAGCATAACTCTTTTTTAAATCTCAGATTTCATCTTGAAAATGTAAAATCCAATTTGTTCACTTTGTTTAAAGCAGCCCAGTTCTTTCCATTTAAAAGTATTCTGCTGTCCCCTCAATATTTTTGGGTTTAAAGAGGGAAAACACATCAAGGAATCCCTCAGAATTTGTGATTATCCTCACTGGGCCTTTATCAAATCCCCCCAAAAAAGACCCAACAAGATCTCCTCCATTACAGACAAAGAAGAGAACAACAAACATAGCCATGTCAATCATTCCATACGTGGCAGAGGTAGCTGAAAAGCTCAGGAGGATTTTCAACCAACACAACATATATTTACACTTTAAACCCAAGAATAGACTAAGGCAGAAGCTTGTCCATCCCAAAGATTAAACCCCCAGATACAAACAATGTGATATATGCAATACAATGCAGTGAGACATGTGCAGATCTGTACATTGGTAAAACAAAACAATCATCTAACAATAGATCTACTGGTTTTCTTAGCACTGATCCCTTGGCATTCAGTGTTTTGTCAATTGTTAACTTGCATATATCCTTTACCGCCAATTACAAAACAATGTCTTAACGCTTCTGATTTTTTTTCTCTTCCCCCTCTCCCTTCTCTCAGTTTTACCAGGTAGCTAAAGACTGGTGGATTTTTAGCTTTTATTTCTGTTTTCCACTGCTAATCACTGCTCTTTTCTATACTTTGATGACCTGTGAGATGTTAAGAAAGAAGAGTGGGATGCAGATAGCATTAAATGACCACCTGAAACAGGTAAAAACAGAAATGAAATCTCTGTCTTATTCAAAAGGTGTATTATACTGGTATCATGGGTATAGTTTCAAACACAAAGTTAAAACTTAAATAAAATACATTTTTAATAAAGTTTCCTTCCCAAATTTCCTATAGAACCATTGCCATTTTCTATAACAATACAAAATAAACAGGCTTGATTTACAGAGGTAAGGTATGAAAACTAAAATAAAATATGGCAAGGATAGACAAAGAAGATAGTGAAAAAAAAGCTGAGGGACAGTTTCTTTGCTTTCAATGGAGAATTTAGTGCCATAACAGCTTTGCTTTTCTAGATGTAATCCACTTCTGTTGTCTAGGCCAGGGGTGTCAAATTTGATTTTATTGAGGCCCACATCAGGGTTGTGTTTGGGGGGCCGTATGTGTGTGTGTGGCCATTGTTGTGGCCAGGGTGGGCATGGCCATCTTGACATCGCCCACCTGGGCTCCATTTTCAGCCACGATAGCTTCCTGAAACCCTCTGCCAGAGAAAACGGAACTCGGGGAGACCACATGCAGCCGACTATCTTGCCTTTAGAAATGGAAGATGCAAGATAAAAAAAAGTTGTAGCTGTTCTGACCCAAACCTGGTTCCCAGAGAGCAAACACAAGACAAAGGTACCAGCACAACCTTTTAATGTTTCATGTACGAAGCCTGTTTCTTCACAGATAAATGGCTTTTTCCAACTAATTAGCTCTGATAAGGAAGAGCCTTGCCAAGTTTTTGCATGGCTGCCAAGAACAACAGATAAGGTTCCTAAACAATAAATCAAAAGAGTCTCCAAACACCAACTCAGATATTCTAACATCCACCAGGCTCGAGGATCAAACTTCTTTGCCTTCTGCAAAGAACTCCGGTTTCTCAGCTGGCTTTTATCTTCTAAGGGAGGGGCCATTACCTTGCAGCCTTACTCTCGAGTCGCCTGTGCTGCTGCAGCTGCTCTTTCCTTCGAGCAGCCCTGCACGCGCACACACTGGGCACGGGCTCCTTGGGTGCCTCTTCATCATTGCTGCCAGCCTCCACAATCTCCAAAGACAGCATCCCACTCCCTGATGGTCCTGGTCCCATCCCTGCATCACACGCAGGCCCCTCATCTGAGTCCTCGCTCTTTGAGACTTCAGCTGTCCACATCTGCTGCTGGCGAACCACAACAGTAACTCTGGAATAAGCTCTGGAATAAGATCCCATACCCTTCTGAAATCTGGGAGAGATGAGATGTTTATTCCATCCTACAAATGACAGAAAACCTGTTTATAGGCAACAATTGCTCAGTTACTTATTATTTGTGTCCTGGGGCTACACCAAGTACAAAATACTTGAATAAGACATCTGCAATGCATCTTAGTGCAAGTGTAGCATGCTTTCTCAAAGTGTTAAAAGGAACCCCCCCCCACACACACACACACAAACACACACACTTTGACTTGCATAGTTAAAGGAACCACTTCTGCTAGCCAAGCCAAGTCAAGCCATTATGAGATTAGCCACATAACTATGGAGCCGAAGACAAGCTTGAAAGCAATTGCGCAAATCCTAAGGATGCAGTCTTCTCCTACTTAAAGGGTGCATAGTCCTTTGTTGTTGTGTTTCACCGGCAGCAGGTGCAGATGGCTGAGGTCTCTGAGAGCGAGGACTCGGATGAGGGCCTGCATGTGATGCAGGGATGGGGCCAGGACTATTAAAGAGTGGAGTGCTGCCTTTGGAGCTTGTGGAGTCTGGCAGCAGTGACAAAGAGGACCCCGGGGTACCTGTGCTGAGTGCACGTGCGCGCAGGGCTGCTCGAAGAAAAGAGCAGCTGAAGTCGCACAGGCGACGCGGGAGTAAGGTTGCAATGTGATGGCTCCTCCCACAAGGGATAAAAGCCAGCCTTCGGGGTTGGCTTCTTTGCAGGAAGCAAAGAAGTTATTTCAACTCCAAGTTCTCGTGGAAGTCCTGTCTGCTCTGATTCGTGTTTAGAGATTTTTGGTTTGGAATATTTCTCTACAGTTAATCTTGTATTCTTGGCAGCCTTTTGTAACCTAGAAAGGGCTTGCTCGTATCTGGGACAATTAGTTTTAATGACTCTTTGCTGTGAATGAACAGAATTCACAGAGACACATTAAAAAGTTTTGCTTTTATATATACTTTGTGTTTATTTGATTTGAACAAGGCTTGGGTCAGAACATTTGTAAATATATTTTGTGAAGAGTCCCTTTCAAAGGGTTTGCACAGCCCCCATAGTGGCTCAATAGTAACTATATATCACTGAAGTATTCTAATGAAGCCTGGAATTGCAGAAAGTCTACCCAGTGGGTAGCAGTTACAATTAATTCTTTTTGCTGATTCAATTAAAATCATTTTAAGTAAGTTAAAAACAATTTATTACACAAATACATTTTTGTACTGAGTTGGGGAAGAAGTGGAAAACTGTTCGTTCTCCACTTTCCACCACCACGGTTCCTTTGTATATACTTCCTAGTAGCTTTTCCTACCATTAATTTGGAAGTAGCATTCCAATAGATGGAATGTTGATGCACGTGGAGTAGAGAAATAGCCAGGGGTAAATTATGTGAAAGCCTATTTATTTGGAATGGGTATGTTTAAATGACAGAAATGACATACGTTCTATGCATGTCGGCACATTTTACATACTGAAATGTGGACGGACTTTGCATGGAGCCATATAAGAATGGTAAAACAACATTGTGATTTCAGTATTCATCCTTAAGGATACAGGCAATCCTTGACTAACAACCACATCTGAGCCCAAATTTTCTGTAGCTAAGTGAGACGTTTGTTAAGTGAATTTTGCCCCATTTTACAACCTTTCTTGCCACCTTTGTTAAACGACAGGGTTGTTGAGCAAATCTGGCTTCCCCATTGACTTTGCTTGTCAGAAGGTTGGAGAAGGGGATCGCATGCAATTGTCATAAATATGAGTCAGTTGCCAAGCATCTGAATTTTGATCAGGTGACCCTGGGAATGCCACAATAGTCGTATGAGTGAAAAGCTGTCATAAGTTACCTTTTATCATTGCCATTATAACTTTGAATGGTTACTAAATGAGCTGTTGAGGACTACCTGCATTTGTAACAAACCGGTACCATTAATAGCCATTAATATAGCCTATCTATTTACTTTTATTCCCAATTGTGTGTTTGTTTGTTTTCAGAGACGTGAAGTAGCCAAAACAGTGTTCTGCTTAGTGGTTGTTTTCGCCCTGTGCTGGCTGCCTCTTTACCTCAGTAGCATATTGAAGTTTGCTCTCTATGATCCACACAGCCCAAACAGGTGTGATCTTTTGAGGTAAGACTGTTACAGCTTGAAATGAAGATGCAGAGCCAGATTTTGTGCTCTATCAGCCATATGCAATCAGTGGAAAAACATGCAGGATTCTCAACGGGACTGAAGTTCTGTCAAAAATAAGTTATATTAATTTTGTGTTAAAATCTGACTTTAGAAAAAAAAGTATTTTCTCTCAAATCAAGGTTTAGTTTACTTTATTGTCATTGGACCTCGAACAACGAAATTAAATACCATCTTCAGTGTACATTATGACTATGAAAATAAACACAAACACACATCCTTCACATTCTATACATTGAATTGAACCCTTGATATTGCATTAATATTGCACTATACAGTAGAATACAGTACAGTTACTGTCCTGGGATAGAAGCTGTTTTTCAGCCTATTTGTCCTTTATTATCCTGTGCCGTCTGCCAGATGGTAATAGTTCAAAAAAAGGGTTCCCAGGATGAGATGGATCTTTGAGAATGTTTTGAACTTTCTTAAGGCAGTGGGAGCTATAAAGCTCTTCCAAAGAGGGGAGAGGGCAACCAATGATCTTCTGGGCAATGACGTTAACCCTCTGGAGTACTGTCCTTTCTGCCACTGTGCAATTGAAAGGAAAATGCTTTTGAAAAAGCAGGACAAAAAAAAAAAATCAGCGTAGCATCATATTGAATGTCAATAGTTCCATGTGTAATCCCTGTTTTCTATAGGAGGTACATCTTTATGGTTTTAGCTGGTCTTAAATTCCCATCTGTTCTCCTAAAGAGGATATGATATATAATAATTCCAATAAACTACTATTGCTCCCTACTCAATCTGGGACATCATATATACTTGTTAATATTTCATTCCAGAATTAGTGGTCAGATCTTGCCAATGCTATAAAGAACCATCTGGAAGATATACACAGATGCAGTTGATTCCCAGAAAATTCCTGAATAATAATCACAAGGATATAACTTTTTAAATAAGGTTGAGACAGTAGGAATGCAATGTGTTTTTGCATGAAAGACTGGAAAACCCTTCTCCCACGGATTTCCTTAAAGACAACTGAATGCTTTAAGAACTTTTAGGAATTATGAATCCCGTTACTTATTCAGTGGAGGAATGCACCTTGGAGCTCTCAAGATAGTATCTTCTGAGAGGTAGTTTCCCTAAATGTTTTCTCTCCATTGATAAACTGGTTACGTACTGATCCATACATTTACTTTCAAGAATCAGTTTTCTTTCAAACAGGTAGAATTCATTCAGATGATTGCTTAAAAGATAGCCATTTACATTTACTTTTTCTGATGCTGCTTTCCCACCGAAGCAATTCCTAACAAAACCTTTCTGTTTTGCCTGCACATGCAAAAGGTCACAACACTTCACCCATCATCTTACCAATTTTGACCTTTCCCTACTTGTTATTTTACAACGGAGTCACAATTTACTTGCTGTGTTTCATGATCAAGGGAGTATTTGGGTTTCTAGACTTGTTCCCCCCAAAACCTACTATATCTGTCTGACAACATTATGTTGCCTCGGTCATCTTGTAATCCTTATTATAATAAACCTTCAATCTTTTGGGTTTTGGCACAGTTTTTTGCTGGTGATGAACTACATTGGAATCAATATGGCCTCTTTAAATTCCTGCATCAACCCAATTGCTCTGTATTTGGTGAGCAAAAGGTTCAAAAACTGCTTTAAGGTAAGATTTGTTTATTAAATCTTATTACAAATGACGCTAAATGGCCATCAGATGAAACCTCTTGCTGAAGAAATTAAATTCTGTTTTTAAAACATGCAAAAGGCCATTTTTCAGGGACAAGCAGTCACATTAACTGAAAGGAAAAGCTTTCTTTCAGGAGAAATGTTCTTTGAAATTAGGCAATCTAGAGAATTGGATCATTCACCAGAGTGAAACAGTAAATCACAGAGGGCAAGAATAGGGAAAAGCTGATAATAATAATAATAGATAATAAACGAGAAGCTTCCTAAGTTCTTCAGAATTCACATGTATGCGCAATATTTCCAATACCCATTGAAACGTTATCTTTTCTAAGTTTAAATAATTGTTCATTCATAGTCCAAGGAAAGTCCTAGCTGTTTCCATACACCGTAGTTTACAGGACATTGTCCACAATATTGTCCAAAATAAGGATGAAATGGATGCTGTACTATTGATTGATAATGAGTTTTATTATTTTAACTGGAAACTGGGATAATTTGTGATTTCCTTGCCTAATGGACAAAGTTTGGCACAAAGATCAAGTTGGCTATGGGTAAGCCAAAGGAAATTGAATTATTCCGTTCAGGAAGTAGCTTTCTGTAGAGGAGGTACAGATTGCTAAGAACGAACTTATTTATATCCCAATAGAAAACCAAAATATCCAGAGTTTCTTTGAATGAAGTTGGAAAAGAAGGAAAGATAACTAGGTAGAATAATTTCCTCTCGTTCCTCTTGGATTACCCTCAGTAGAAAATAGAATAAAGCAAAAGGAATTTATTAAATGTACTATTTTCTTGTTGTTGCTATTAATCTAAAACTTTATTACAGGTTTGAATATGACAAAATAATACCTCTAGTCCTTCCCTAACTGAACAATATCAACATTTAGAAGTTCAGAGTCACATTTATAATGTTTTTCTGTGTAGAAACAGTGCTTTGGATTATAACCAGTCACTGCAGGGAAAGGTCTAAATGTGAACCTTTTTGATTATGAGTCTGTTTGTATGGAAAATACAAAAATGTTGTACAAAAATGACAGACACAGGGTTCAGTAAAACAGTTTTTCCTCAATACACCTATATACATACATACATACATACATACATACATACATACATACATACATACATACATATATAACCATAAAATTTTGTCCTTTTCAGGGCAATACTTTATTATTTTGGTGAATGTTATTAAATATTACATGTAAAAAAGATAAAAACTAACTCAAACTGTAAAAAACCCAAAAGGATAAAAAGGGAAATTAAGAAGAGAAAAAAAATGAAAGAAAAAGAAAAATATAGTGAAGAAAAAGAAATATATAAAGAAACAACTTCCTCCTTCATCACAAGTATAAACAATATTGGTAACCAATGAGAGGCTCACAAAAATGACACAGGAATATAGAGTTCATGTAGGGCAGGCTATCTGTGTGAAGGGCTGTGAGAAATGAAAATCCCTCACGGGAGCTCAGAAAGAGATGTCTCTGTCAGAACTTTTGTTGTTCAAAGTTTAAACTTTAAAGTTAAAGTTTAAACGTAGCTGTAAAAAGATTCTGGAAAGAATATGCATCATCTCCTCTCTTTCATAATCAAATGGGCATGAAGATTTTTGTAGCTGGACAGGGTGGGTGGGAAGATATTTTTTTATTGCTTGCTTAGTTACTTGACCTCTTGGAATTTTTAGGTTCTGGTTTCTGTGAAAGAGCCGTCAATAATGGTTCTGTATTTTACAGCAGAGGTCCCTGACCCCCGGTCTGTGGACTGGCACCGGTCCATGGCATGTTAGCAACCGGTCCGTGCAAACAAGCAAAGCCCCATCCATGGAATGCAGACAGCATGCTTTATTTATTTATTTGTTTATTTATTTATTTATTTTTGTCAATTGCTTACATGATAATAGATATAAGTAAAAACATAATTATGAATACATGGATACATATAAGAAAAATAAAAAAATAAAAGAAACAATAGGACAGGGATGGTAGGCACGTTGGTGCACTTATGCACGCCCCCTACAGACCTCTTAGGAAAGGGGTGAGGTCAATAGTAGACAGTCTAAGGTTAAAGTTTTGAGGGTTTGGGGAAAAAACCATAGAGTCAGGTAGAGTATTCCAGACATTGACCACTCTGTTGCTGAAGTTGTATTTCCTGCAATCAAGTTTGGTGTGATTAACCTTGAGTTTGTATCTATTGTTTGCTCTTGTGTTGTTATGGTTGAAGCTGAAGTATTCATTGACAGGTAGGACATTGCAATGTATGATTTTATATATACGATTCTTAGATCGGACCGAAGGCGGCGTAGTTCTAGGTTTTCTAGGTCTAGAATTTTGAGTCTGGTGGCATAAGGTATTCTGCAATGAGTAGAGGAGTGGAGAACTCTTCCTGTGAAATATTTCTGGACTTTCTCAACTGTGTTAATATCAGATACATAATGTGGGTTCCAGACTGATGACCTGTATTCAAGTATTGGTCTAGCAAATGTTTTGTACGCTCTAGTTATTAGTATAATATTACCAGAGAAAAAGCTACATAAGATTAGGTTAGCAACTCTTAACGCCTTTTTGGCTATGTAGTTACAGTACCCCCTCCTGTTTGCGGAAAAACCTCTCCATGGAACTGGTCCCTAGGGCCCAAAATGTTGGGGGGGCGCTGTTTTAGAGCACTGGGCAAATGTATAAATGCATGTACAAACAGCCTTTCTAATTGAGAATCTTTTTGCTTTTCAGTCATGCCTTTGTTGCTGGTGTCATTCCAAAGACATGCTATCCCTGGAGGAGAAACAGTCCTGCTTAAAGTTCAGAGCAAACGACCACGGATATGACAATTTCCGCTCCAGTAACAAGTACAGCTCATCTTAAGCAAGAAAGCTTGGACTCAGCTATTGTGGGATGTTGCCAGACTGTAAAGAAGAGGACAGTTAAGCTGAAGACAACAGATTCTGCATAGTAGAGGAAATTGAGCTATCTGGGAAGGAAGTTTGAGATTTTCACAGAAATCTAAATATTTACTGAGCCCACTGATCTTAACCATGCCCAGTGTTCCTAATCATTTGAGTCAATGTTGCTGGACGGAAGGGATTTAGGGAGGAACTACAGTTCTTTAAGCACTTAAATACTTCAAAACAATCATTGCCAAATCATTCTCAAATCCTGTACATGAAATAATTGTATTCACCAAGGAGCCCAATTAATAATCCTTAATATAGAATTGTACGAAATTGTATGTTTTGGGCAATATCACCCATCTATATTATTTTTTTAAAAAGTTTTACTTGCCTGTAAAATTCACAGGTAAGATATAAGTGTAAAATATTATTCCACCTGATCCAGGACATCATGGATCATGGTGGTATAAAATAAAATCAGTAAGAATTTTTTCCATAGTAACGAAGAGTCACAATCAGTCTTAAAGCAATTTAATTTTTTTTCCAAAAGTAAACTTCATCTGGAGTGATAAATGAACTTTTTAAAGGCTGGAAAAGTGGTCGTTAGCCATTAATATCTGGATCATCTTCAGCTCTACTTAGGGTTTTAGGGATAATCTTGCACTGCTTGTGATCCCCAATGGTGTACATGGCCCTTCATCAGAGACCCAGGACCGGCTTTTAGGCCCTACTTTACCCAAGCAGTACTCGTGTCACAAGCTGTGGAGGACCAAGCAATGAAAAAACAGGCAGTATTAGTATGGCATGAGTGCAACACATGATACCAGCTTTAGAATTAATATACTGTAAATACCAGGATTTTATTTTATTCATACTGGGGAAAAACATTTCTAGATCTTACAATAAATGTGTGCATAAAGTTCCAGAAGCAGGAAAGACAATAGAATAAGTTTTCAGTTAAGTTTTCACTTACCTTGCATTTTCCCAGTGCTGGTCAAACTGATCTAACTATGCAAAATAATAACCAGTGATGTAAAATTAAAACAATTGTACAAACATGCTTAATTTATGCAAAGTACAGATTTTTTCCCCCTCTCATCACATTTAAACAGTAGGCACATAGAATTTCATTCTCTCTCCCTTTTTTACCAGGTAGCATTATCAAGATTTCAAATCTTTGTTCCCCTGACATAGAAAAATACTTAGGTCTCTTTCTGTAGATTTCTATAGTGTAGAGCAAGCACATCGGTCACAGGAATTAACTACCATCGGTATTAGTCTGTCATATGTAGAAACATGAACAGACCTGCATTCAAAAGGAAGACAGGGATTCCCTCCTATATTTTTTTTTCCTCTTCTTCTCTAAATCTATCTTGAAAAGGCAGTACGAAATTCCTTACTTTTTTTGGCCCTCCTGATCTTTTAAACTGGCTGTAGATCTGGTAGTATCCCTCACTTTTCTTTATGGAACATTTAATTGCATCTGTGTAAATATTTCATGAAAGCTATAATAATAAACAGTAAAATCTGGGCTGGTCCCAATATTGATACCATTCATTACTCAGAGAGATAAATACAGTGTATACTCTGCTCCACAAATAGTGGAGTATTTGTGTTAATACTGCGAGTTAACACAGACTTAAACTTAATATCAGTATTAAATAATATTGCTTTTAAGTTATCAGAAGGGATGTATAAATAACCACTCCAACCTGTTGTCCTGCAGTCCAGAAAATCTAGAAGAGAATAGATTATTAAAGGCTTCCCTGAAAGGTCTTCAGGTTAACATGGTGGCAGGATCCACTATCATTAATGAACTTGGTAGAGTGAGGTATGACTCGGGGGATTATATCTGTAGTGTTCTTAAGGACAGCCAATTCTTTCTTTCATGAAGAAGCAAAAAGATTATGACTTTATATTCAGACACAAAATGTCTTGGACCAGTCTCATGTTATGCATGGAAAAGGGAAAATAGGCCAAAATTTTTTTTTTTTTAAATGCATTTGCTCATGCCTCAATTTTTGAGATTAGATACCTGTAGTGTAGGATTTACTTCTAAATAAACAAACACAGATTTGCATTGTGAGGGAAAGTTCACCTGGAGCTTCTCCATATATCAGGAGATACTCCAAAAGCTGATCTTTTCCTGCAAGAGGCTACCTTGTTATAGCATCAACCACTTCACTTGGACCCAGTGGTGAAATTCAAACTTTTTTTACTGTCGGTTCTGTGGATGCGTATGGAGCGTTCTAAAATAGGCAATTTTAAGCTTGAAAACTTACTGTCAGCACTGGTGAGTAAAACAGCTGAGGCGTGGTAATCCTATCAGCTGAGCTACAAACAAAGGAAATATAGGACAGGAAAGGGTGGGTGCGGGTGGGCGGGGCCAACTGCTGACTAGGGCTACCAGATTGCTAGAACTGGTGCAAACCGGCAGCAATACCACCACTGCTTGGACCCCATTTTAAAGTGACAAAATGTGACATGATTATTGTCTTCTGTTTACCGATGACTATTTTCAAAAGTTCTGTTTTACATATTAATTCATGGGTGCACAACCTTGGGCCCTCTAGTTTTTTAGTCTATTAAGTCCTTGATCCAAATCTTAACTAATCAAATTATCCAATAAGTAATTAGATAGTAAGAGTTTTAGTTTTGATCAAAAATGTTAATATGAAATGATAAAGCTAAAACATAAATGGGCAAAGGTCCTAGATGTCGTTTAGGCAATGTGAAGTCACGTTCTCAAACTTTGAGATGAAAGTATTTATACAGGGGGTAAAGCTGGTGTTGATCCTGGGCTTAACTCTGACAATTGTTCAGTATGTTTAATTTCCATTAATCTGTTCAGTATTACTGCTATTGGTTATAGCACTACAGTACTGTACACATATCATTGTAGTTCTTTTTATAATATACATTGTATAGCTGCATTTTTACATTGTATTGCTGTATTTTTACAATGCACTATGTTATGGTTCAAATCTGTTAAAAAAAATTATGTAGAAAACAGTTTTTGTAGTTTGTGACTTGTGATTATCCAGTGCAGCGGTTTTACACATTTCCTTTTATGTAAGAATTTGGCTAAATGTGAAATAGAATTTAGTTAGGTTTATATAGCAGAACCAGAGGATTTGCGCTCCCTAATTTTTAGCCATTTGTTCATACTAAATATATATGTATATATTTCATTTTTCCCAATATTTTAATAGCAAAATATGTCTTTTTTCTATCATTAAAACTTTGTAGTAATATGATTTAGATAACAATAGCATGAATGTGTGTGTAGAAATTGGAATTTCTAGACTTTCAAAGGTTTTTTTTATCCTGCCTTATTTTTATAAATAAACTAGATGATCTATAATTTTTTTAAGAGAACTCTTTTATACAGAGTTTCTCCTTTCCTTACAACTGCACCCCTAGTTGTGCAATGTCCAATTGCTGTAGATAGGGAAAGGATGTGTGGGAAGAGATTAAATTTTTCACTTCCAGATCTACATTTTAGCTTCTATAATTACTAATTTCATTATTCAGTGTAACAGATTCAGTGTAATTGTCAATAATATCTTCAATTAAATTGGGTGAGAGGAATCAGATAAAGATGAGTAGCTGCAGGCTATCCAGAATTATTTTTTTATAAAAATTGTAGAGTTGGGTTTTTTTAATAGTATTCCGTGTAACACTGTTTGAGCCTTTTGACATCTCATAGGCAAATTTCATCTTGAATGAACTTCAGAAAAATTACCAGTGTGCATCAGTGAGGAAAAATATCCATAAAGAATTTGACAGGGATACAGCTGATTGTTGATACAAACATTGGTTTAACATGTTAAACAGATGTTAAATTCTTTCTCAGGCCATGATGTAACTCCATCTCCAATATTTTGTGCAATTTATGACAAATAGGGAGAAGAACCACTGCTGATTCCAAGTGTGACAACTTAATAAGCAACAGTGGCATCTCATCTGGATTTCAATTACCCAGACAACCATTCTATAACAGTAGATTTTTTTAATCTCTTTGTTTGCCTCTTACTCAAAAAGCTTCAGCTCAAATACATAATGTGTAGCATGCAAATAATATTGTTACATATTTCTATGCAGATTCTCAGTCATCCAGGTTACGATTGTCCCAAAGCTGCTTTTTCAAGAAGCAACAGGACTTTGTGGTTTTTCTTTGAAGATGTTTCTTTTCCAGTCAGAGCTGAAGAAGCTTCTTGGATGAGAAGCGAAATGTCTTCAAAGAAAAACCAGAAACTCCAGTTGCCTCTGGAAAAAGCACTTTGGGGACAATATTGTTGCATAGTTATTGCAGTGCTGAGGGATTACCACATGTGGATTTATCTTAAACAACTTCAGACATAACTGAATTGGAGAAAAAGCTGTTGTTGCTGGCTATAGTAACCAAGGATTTAAGATTTTCCAGGAACTGGGATTGTATGGTTTCCATCTGGCTTCTCTCTGGAGTTTAATCCCGAATCAATAGGCAGAAAGCTAACATGAGATTGTTCGATCACTCACAAACTTCCTGTCAAGACAATCTGCTCGCTTTCTTCTCCTGACTGGGATGGTATGTTTGCTGATATTGGTTGCTCCGAGATAATGACAGCAACTTGCAGCAACTTCATGCATTTTGCACATGAATATGCAATCAAGGAGAAGGGAAAGGTTTCTGTCAGGAATGTTGATTCAGGAATCTGTTCCTGCTATCTGGTCTTTGGAGTCTGGCCTAAGCATCAGTCACTATCTTCCTAAGACCCAGGCAAAGGATGAGACATCGTCATTCCCGAGCAGAGAGTGCTTTAAGAGGAAACAGGACTCAGCACGCAGGCATCAGACTTGAATGTCTACTCCCTGTGATTTCCTTTCTCTAGATGAGCAGAATTTCTCAGAGGTCCCCTCTCTCACTTTACTGGTCAAGCAGGATCAAAGCTATAGAATGTGGGGAAAGGATTTTTATTAATCAGAAGAGGGCTGGAAGGGATCTTGGAGG